TGATAATAATTAATAGCAATAACATTATTGAAACTTAATTAACATGTGAATGGGGGAGCATATGTGATACTTAGCTCCTTGGGCGGAGGCTTGGTCATGAATCAGGCAAGGAATATTGTTGACTGAGTCAACTTCTCCAATAAAGAGCTAGATACGTAGGCTGCCCAATAGTGCAGAGCATGTCACGTCCCAAATTGAGGACTTGGTCAAAACTCCCCAAAGAAAGTGGCCCCCCATTGCTTGGCTCCAAACACGCAGACGTGGTCTGCTTAGAACCAAGGCAGTATGAATGGTACTCCATGTTTTGGGAGAAATAATCGGGACACCTGCTCGTCGATCCAAGGCCAGATTATCTGGGTCGGCTGCTCACCCAGGGCGGCACGACGGTTGTAGCGGAGCAAGGTCGGCCAGAGGGTGTACTTTTCGGTGGGAGATCGGTTGAGCTTCTTATTTTACTTCCCTTGAGCTTAAAAAACACCATTAATGGCGGAAATCAAACTCCCAGTCGGTAGGTCCTCAGGTCACAGCGGTCGAATAGGATGGCTGGTGGAGGCTCGCCCCGCGACTGACCAGGCGGAGGGGTAGTCGGTGGTTGACCGCCGCCGGCGGGCGGCGGGCGGCGGTGCGGCGACTTTAGGCGGCAGAAGCAGCTGCGCGGGACGAGCAGCTGTGTTGCAGGTGCTATGAGATTTGGGGTGCTTAAGCGAGCTTTTTCTGGTGCTGGCTAACACCACGGAGGCTCCCTGCCGGCGGCGACGGTGACGGCGGCTCCGGCGACCTTCCTCCTCCTGCTTGCTTTCCAGAATCCTTTTTTTTTTTTTTTTTTTTTGTAATCAGTCCATTTCGTATGAATCTTTGCAGAACAACTGAAGAACACATGTAATCTTTTTGGACAGATTCCCACAGACGGCGCCAGTGTTGAGTTTAATCCAACACGATATAATAAATATATGTATGAACACTCAGTTTTTACGTGGAAACCCGAAAGGGAGAAAACCACGGGACTTTTTAGGCTAATGTCCGAGCCTTCTCATTCTCATTAATCTCTCCTCACCATTACATAGTACAATTTGAGCTTCATTAATGGAGTATTGAGCTAAGTCTAAAAGAAGGAGGAAGATGAAGCTCAAAGAGGATCCCTAACATGGAGGGAAAACCTCCTATAAATAGGGGAAGGGGAGAAGGGGCTCTCCACCCTAACGGGCCAAACGGGCCGATGCCGGGCCCAATGGCCAAAGTGGGCCAGAATGAGTCGAAATGGACCTAGCTGCTCGGGCTCCATACTGGATAATGTCTTGGACTCCTGAACAGTAATAGGCCGGGATAATATATCCCAACAATTATTATTATTATTATTACAATATAATAATAATAATATGATTAATATTATTATAATATTATATTATAATTTTATGTAATTATAATTATAATTACAATTATAATTATTATAATTATAAGTATAATCAATTGCAATTATTATAATTATATCTATAATTAATTATAATTATAATAATCATAATTATAATTACAATCATAATTATAATTATGATTATAATTATAATTATAATATACTATTATAATAATAATATAATAATAATAATAATAATAATAATAATCGTATTATTATTAATATATTGTAATAATAATATTAATATAATAATATCGTTATGATAATATTAATTGTATTTATAGTACTATTATTATATTATAATATTATAATTAATGTTAATATAATTATAATTATTATTAATTATAATTATAATAATTATAATTATATTATTATATTATAATATTATAATTAATTTTAATATAATTATAATTATTATTAATTATCATTATAATAATTATAATTATACTTATAATTATATTATAATTATAATTTATTATTATAATTATTATTTTTATTATAAAAATTATTATTATTATTATTACTATTGTAATTATTTTACGGAGTAATTATAATAATATTGATAACTATAGTTACAATTATAGAGATAAATATTGTAATTATAATTACAATTATAATTATATAAGTAATTATAATTAAAAATATAATTACAGTTATAATTATATCTATATTTATAATTAGTGTAATAGGTATAAATTTTTTCATTTTAAATTTAATTTTAATTATTATTATTATTATTATTATTATTATTATTATAGTTACGATTATAATTATAATTTTATTTAAATTATATTTGTAATTGCAATTATAATAAATATAATTATAATTATAATCATAATTATAATCATAGAAACATTCAAATCAGATCAGATCAGAAAGATTCAGATCAGATCAGAAGGATTCAGATCAGATCAGACCAGATCAGAAACATTCAGATCAGATCAGAAAGATTCAGATCAGATCAGATCAGAAAGATTCAGATCAGATCAGATCAGATCAGAAAGATTCAGATCAGATCAGATCAGAAAGATTCAGATCAGATCAGATCAGATCAGATCAGAAAAATTCAGATCAGATCAGATCAGAACTAAAAAATTCAGATCAGAAACATTCAGATCAGGCGAAGAGAACAGCTTCTTAGTGACTTACGGCTTGCTGTTTTGCATCTTTAGTTTTTGACTCCTAGTTGGTCTTCATAATGTAATGGGGGGGGGGGGGGGGGGGGCAAAAAAAACGTTGGGGGGGGGGGGGGGGGAAATGGCCCCCTTACCCTGTCAAGTAGCTCCGCCCCTGCAAACACACAACCGGGGACTTTTGCAGGTTTTTTTAATAATAGAAAAGCTAGAAGCTACTGACTTTTGCTTGCCAAACATAGCCTATATTTGATCCTAGGCTTATTGGTGGGTGCTGTGTAGTAATAGAACCAGACGTAAAGTTAGTAAGCACATCGAAAGCTAAAGAGAGAAAATGTGCACTAAAAAGGGCAAGGTAAAAGGCCGAATATGAGAATGAATGCCATTTTCACAACTATTATCAAATATGATACTACGTATGTGATAATTTTAGTGGGATGGACGAAAAAGAATAAATGGAACAATTATCGTGGGACGGAAAGAGTATAAATAATTTGTAAAAATGTATGATTAAGAAAAAAAAACTCAGATTTTTTAGTTTTTCACTTTTGGTTTCTTGTGCCCTACTTGACCGGAAAATTAAAGCTTCGACTTCTATTTTCTTACCAAGAAAGTTGCATACTTTTCTTAAAAATCACACTACTCTCTTTTGACCCAATATTAGGGAGACAAAGGTAGTAGTACAATTTATTGATTGAAATAAGTTAACAAGATTTTGTAAAAATATTATTCTACGTAGTACGAAGTACGTAGTACTCTTTCAGTCCTGCAAACAGTTCACGGTTTCCTTTTTGAGCCGTCCTAGAAAATAGTTTTTATTTCTCTTTTTGGAAAGTTTTGTGTGAGTTGGAGTGCAATCGCCCCTCTAAATACATTCGTGATCCGTGTATATATTCTTCATATTCAATCCCATGGATTGCGATTTGCGAATGGTCTTATGATCTTATCATCAATATAACTAGACCATATATAATCTACAAGACGGAGTTCATTATGCGCGCAGGCTAATTATCCATGCAAGGGTCCTTTCAAAATTGTACCAACACGGAGGTGAGGTCTTCCAACTCTCAACAGCTAGCTAGCTAACCAATTAACCATGCATATTGTTTAAACAAGAAATTATTCACTTCTTATAACAAAGAAAAGTAGGATAAGGGGGTTTCGCACAAGAATCTATATGGAAGAATGGAAGAACTTTAATTATGAACTGAATATCAATGTAAATAAACTCTCTTGATAATGAAAAGGAAAGCACTTGCTCTCTAATTATGATTCGAATGAAATCTCTGTTTACAATTTGCACTCATTAAATAAGCCTTCCTTTACGCCCATCTCCAAGCTAACGACCCGCCAAAATAGCCGCAATACCGCTCAACGTGCTTCCTTCTCTTTCTCTCCAAGGCTCCAACGTTCTTATCTGATAATTCAAACAACCCCTTTATCCGGGCTCTGCTTTATGTCATAGGCTAGTCTTGTCATCTTGTTGTTGAGATGGGCCGTATGCTTTAACTTATTATCTCGTGGCTGGGCTTTGTTAATTGATGGAGAATCCTTGGCCCAACAATTGCCCCCAATTCGGAGGAATAGTTGTCAATGGATCGCTAAAGACATCGAACCGGCAACTCTTCCTTCGAATTAATACTCTTTGGGCTTCGTGAAGACTCCTGCTCGAATACTCAACCGTTGCCTTCTTCACATCGACTACCTTTCTCTTCAACTCGAAAACTCCCTCTTTTTCGCACGGTTCTCCACATTCCTTGTTTCTCCCTCTTCCATGGCTTCTCAAGTGTTTGTCCCTCAGGACATCTTAGAACTGAAAAGCTCCAAGCAAGCACGTCTCACGGAGGCTCATGTGGAAGCCATCCAAACGTCATCTGGATTCCCCTCCAATGCTGTCATCCGCTTCCCGGCGGCCAATGAAAGACTGGACTGGTTCTGCCCTGGGTGGGTGAACTTTCTGTTCTACCCGTTCAAAATCGGAATGAAATTTCCATTCTCTCCCCTAACTCGAGGCTTCCTGGAATTCGTCAAGATTTCCCCTTCTCAAATCATGCCGCAAGTGTGGAGGATTTTAAGGGCTCTGGAAGTTTTGAGCGAGAAATACAGCATTCCCTTTGAATTTGAGGACCTCGGATTTACATATGAGCTTCGTACATCTGGCCCTGGCCGTTTTACCCTAGCACTGAAGGACAGGAAAGCAAGGCTCATTCATAAAGTAGACAAGGCGAATGATAGAGGATGGATGAGCTGGTATTTCTTTGTTCTCAGAGATTCACTTGGGCACGAAGGAGTGTTTCTCGAAGATGACCTTCACAAAAGTAATCATTAAATTCATATATTCATCTCTTCTATTTCTGCTTTACTCTTTAGCCTCTAGCTTCTGAATGTATCTACCATTCATATACGTCATATGAACAATTAGCAGGTTATGATTATTTGTCATTCTGTCTGTTTTCCAGAAAAGAAGACTATTCCCCTTCCCCATGGGCCAACGGCCGAAGAGAGGACAGCCCGCATCCAAGCTATCCCTGTGGAAGAACGTTGGTTTGTAAGCTTGGTCTCTGAGTCTTCAGGTATGCCTCCCACTTTAACTCCTGATAGATCTGTCGGATTAAGGCGTTCTCGACGTAATATGAAGTCTTCGCGTAATCTGATTCAAGACTCGTCTGTAGTCTCAATTGAGGATTCAGGCCAGGAATCTGAAGGTTCTAAAGCTGGTGCTTGTGAGAATGCAGATGCTTATGTCCCTATGCAGGTTGTCTTTCCTACCGGTGAGAATTCTCAAACTGGGAAACGTCCTTCTCAGTCCGTTGGTAAGTATTTTGCCTTATTCCCTGAGTCCTTTGTCCTGACATATCTGATGGTCTGATTGGTTTTTCTTATGACAGCCACCTCTTCGTCCAATTCCAAGTTGCCTCCTACGGATTACGAACTCTTGACTATGGCTTCTAGGAAGAAAAGGGTGCCCTCTAAACTGCCCTCTCCTCTTCCTAAAATCCCTAAGCACTCCACTGCTGAAGCGGCTCAGACCTCCACCTTGCCTCGTGGGATGACTAAACCAGAGCCCAGTCCTGCCCCGGTGAGGATGGTTGCATCCTTCTCCTCAGAATTCTGCCGATTGAAAGACACTCTACTTATGAAGGACGAAATGGCTCAGGTTCTGCTTCCATCATCTTCTGCTGCCTTCCAAGGTTTATCTCCTGCTGGCTTAGCGTTGGCCTCATCTGCTCTTGCTTTCCAGGTTTTGTACTCAACCTCCTTCAACCTGTTAATCAATGAAATGCTTTCTCTTAACATGCTAAATGAACTTGGCTTATTCGTTCAGAGCACACAGGCTAGTCTCGTTGCTGCAGAGAGGTTGACTTTAATGGAGAAAACTATTGACGATCTGAAGATGAAGGAGATAACTATGCAAAAGTATGCTGATGCCAACGCCCGCCAAATTTTGGAATTGCAGGAGCAGAATTCAGCCTATTCTGCCCAGGTGTCGCTTTTGAAGGACCGCATCCTAGCACTTGAAGCATACGGGAGAAAGAAGAAACAAGAAGTCACTAATGCAGCTTGCTTCTATGCTTGGAAGACTCGGGGAGAACTTATGGAAGCGTTCCTAGCAGGTGAGACTTCCGGTTGGAAGGCTGAGCAAGATGTCGCTTCCTGGAGAGAGCTTCAAGAAGAGATGGACCCTCCAATCGCTGATGATGGTTTTGACGTTGGTGAGTCTGATAACGAGGCTGACTCGTAAACTTCTCCTTAATGTAAGGCACTTTGCAAAACACCTTTAACTTGGCTCCCAGTACCTTGGTGGTTCATCCAGGGCGGAAAGTATTTGTGACATCTTCATCTCAGGCACTTGGTGGTTTATCCAAGGCCTGGCCTTTATTTTGCTTTATGGTACCTCCGTGGATATTCTGATACTTTTGCTCTGACTGTCATATATGTGGATATGCTTGTCGTTGTTTATGTATGTGAATATGACTGCATGTGCATAGTTATGTATGTACACATGTTTCGTTATGTATGTATGTTTTGGCCAAAATCATGTATGTTAATAGGGCCGACTGGGACTGTAATCCATGATCTTCTCATGGGCAGCCCAGCCCTTTCCCAATTGATGTCAACGTATTGTGTGCACTTGAAAATGGCCGACATCTTGGCCGTCCATGATTTCCTGACTTTCAGCCCTGATATACTTCTGCAGTCACTAAAAAGAAAAACTGTCAAGGCTGGCCGTTGGCTTGGGGCCAACGGCCCTCCGACGGTCAAGTTAGCAAAAAATCATGAATCCACTTTGTGTGATACAACATTCTACAGACAATATGTCAACTGTATGACCTCCAAGATGGGACCAAAAATGTACTGAACTTAAATTAAGTTAGGCATGAATGAAATAATGCAGAGATTTACTAACGAGTAAGATTTTAACTGCTCAAACTCTATTCTAGGCCATTCATCTAGAACCATAAATGATAATGAGATTTTTAAGTTACACTTATTACCCTGCCAAGGGTAAGACGGGAAATTATATTTCAAAACAACATATAGACCGGTGGTGACGCTTCGACAAACCTGTCGCATCTGGTACGTACAACGCATCAGGGAGACTTGCCTGTCGCCTGGTTTGGTCGCCTGCATCCAAAATGTCATTTGAACTGACCGTTGGCCTTAAGCCAACGGCCCTCCGATGATTAAGTTAGTAAATTGTTCTAACAGATAAAGCAAAATGACATTAGAAATGGAAAAGCTTAAGGTGTACCGCATTCCAGCTTCTAGGAACTTGTTTACCCTCAACTGACTCCAGACGATATGCCCCCTGTCCAATTATGTCAACAATCTTGTACGGACCCTCCCAATTGGGGCTGAATTTTCCACTTGCTTCGTTTCCAAATGCTCTTCTCAAAACCCAATCTCCTTTGTTGAACACCTTTGCTCGAACGTTCTTGTTAAAACTCTTTGCCACCATTTGTTGATAGGACTGTAGACGGATCTTAGCTTTCTCTCTAATTTCGTCGATGGTGTCAAGATCGTGTATTAACTCGACGTTGTTCCGCTCTTCAGTCATAAGCCCGTATCTTGAAGATGGCACTTCAATTTCTGCTGGTATGACCGCCTCACAGCCATACACCAAGGAGAAAGGAGTCTGTCCGGTCGCATTCTTTGGAGTCGTCCTATCAGCCCACAATATCAAGGGTAACTCGTCAGCCCATCTGCCTTGTGCTTTCTCGAGTCTTTTTTTCAAATTGGACACAATGATTTTGTTGCTAGACTCGGCTTGTCCATTGGATTGCGGGTATCTAGGAGTTGACGTTTCCAACCTGATGTTGTACCTTTCGCAGAAGCGTCGGGTTTTTGCACTTATGAACTGGGATCCATTATCACACACAATCTCCGATGGAATGCCAAACCTGCAAAGTATGTTACGTCTGATAAAAGATATTACTTGTTCATCACGTACCTGACGGAATGGCTCAGCTTCCACCCATTTTGAGAAATAGTCCGTCATTGCCAACATGTAAACCTTCTGTCCTGGAGCTTCGGGCAACTTTCCCACGATGTCCATTCCCCATTTCATAAAAGGCCAGGGTGAAAGGACTGGGTGAAGCGACTCTGATGGCTGATGACGGATCGGACCGTGTTTTTGACAAGCCTGACAGCTTTGAGTGAAGGTGATCGCGTCATGCCGCATGGTTGGCCAGTAGTATCCAAATCGGAGAGCCTTGTTAGACAGACTCCTCCCCGCAGCGTGGTTTCCACATTCGCCTTCATGAAGATCTTTGAGCACTCTCATGGCTTCTTGAGGTGCTAAACATCTTTGGTATGGACCTGCTTTAGATCTTTTAAACAGTACATCATCGATTAATAAGAATTTGGTTACCTTGGAGAGGAATGCCTTAGCTTCCTTTCTGTCTGATGGCAAGATGTTATGTCTCAGGTATGCTATGTATGGCTGCGTCCAGTCATCTTGTGAGGACGAACTGATTGTGCTGACGGACTCCAACCTGTCAATTGCCGGACTTGTCAAGTGGACGAAGGGGATGTTACTATTGACTTCTGCCCCCAGACATGACCCAATTGCGGCCAAAGCGTCTGCCTGCGTGTTCTCTTCTCTTGGTACTTGTTCAAGTGTGATCTCGTCGAACCATGCCATCAATTTCGTGACGACTTGCAGGTAGGACGTCATCTTGGGATCCTTTGCTGCATAAACACCATTAGCTTGGTTAACTATTAACAAGGAATCACATTTTACCTGGAGTAGCTTGACACCCAAATCCTTTGCCAAAGTTAAGCCTACGATCAGCGCCTCATACTCCGCTTCATTATTTGTGGCGTTAAAATCACAATGAACGGCTTGGAGCATAGTGTCCCCCTGTGGCGACTTTAGCACTACGCCTAGGCCTGCTCCGTTTAAGTTCGACGCTCCGTCTGTGTGCAATGTCCACTTCTGTTGAGGCAGACCGTCTGTGATGATGCATGCTTCCTTTTCGGCTTCGGTTTGGAGCTTAGGGCTAAAGTCCGCCACAAAATCAGCAAGCGTCTGGGACTTCAAGGCAGTTCGCGGCTCGTACCGAATGTCATAGGCTCCCAGCTGGATCGACCACTTGGCCATGCGACCTGACAATTCTGGTTTCCTCATGATTGATTTCATGGGATAGTTAGTCCGCACACAAATAGTATGTGATTCAAAATATGGACGTAATTTAACCGATGCAGTAATCAAAGCTAAAACTAGTTTTTCAAGTAAAGCGTACCTGGTTTCGGGTCCATTCAATGACTTACTTACATAGTATACCGGTGTCTGCATTCCGTCATCTTCTTTGGTTAACACGGCGCTGACAGCATGTTCTGAGACGGCCAAATACAGCTGAAGCTCGTCGCCCTCTTTTGGTTTTGTCAACAATGGCGGGGTCGTCATATATTCCTTCAATCGCTGGAGTGCCTGCTCGTGTTGATCTGTCCACTCGAACTTCTTGTTCTTACGAAGTACGTCATAGAAAAGGCGACACCTGTCAGATGACTTGGAGATGAAGCGGTTCAGAGCAGCAACTCGACCTGTCAACCTCTGCACATCTTTGACTGACTTTGGTGATTCTATGTCAATGATAGCTCGGACCTGCTCTGGGCTTGCTTCTATTCCACGTTCACTGACGATATAGCCTAAGAATTCCCCTGAGGACACACCGAAGGCGCATTTCGCCGGATTGAGCTTCAGGTTGTATTCCGTCAACTTCTTAAATGATTCTGCCAGGTTGTCAACGTGGTCCCCAGCTTTCCTTGACTTGACGATCATATCGTCTATGTATACCTCCATGGTCTTTCCAATTTGATCTTTGAACATCATGGTGACGAGCCTTTGAAACGTTGCACCTGCATTTTTTAGACCAAACGGCATAACAACATAGCAATATGTACCTGTTTCAGTAATGAAGGCCGTCTTTTCTTGATCATCAGAATGTAGCTGAATCTGGTGGTATCCACTAAAGGCGTCCATGAATGAGAGCATCTCGTGTCCGGCCGTCGCATCGGCCAGTACGTCAATGTGTGGCATGGGAAATGAATCCTTTGGACATGCTTTGTTCAAATCGGTGAAGTCCACGCACACTCGCCATTTCGCCTTTTTTCCTTTTGCTGCCTTCTTTTTTACGACAACGACGTTAGCTAGCCAATCTGGATACCTGACTTCTCTGGCTTTCCCGGTTTGGAGAAGAGCCTCGACCTCTTGGTTTATGATGTCGTTCCGCTCCCTTGCGAAACGTCTTCTTCGCTGTCTGACTGGTTTATATGACGGATTGACATTTAACTTGTGCGTGATGATCTTTGGGTCAATTCCCGTCATGTCTTTGTGACTCCAAGCGAATACATCTTTATGTTGTCTAAGAAACTGGACCAATTCAGCCCTGAGGCTTGCTGGCAAATTTGTCCCGATGCGGATGACCCGTTCTGGATGCTCGTTGTCGATGACTACTTCTTCCGTTTTTTCGTCATCTTCCTCCAAAGCTGGGTCACCCTTTAGTTGCTATGCTGAAGTTGGAGGGTTTGCTGTAGGCTTCATGGCCGTCTGATAGCAAGACTTGGCTACCACCTGGTCTCCCCGAATGGACTCTATTCCCCAAGGCGTTGGGAACTTGACGACCTGGTGATACGTCGACGGAATGGCTCCCATTTGATGCAACCATGGCGTCCCCAAAATCATGTTGTAAGCTGGGAGGCCCTCGACTACATCGAACCTGACCTGCACATTAAGACCGTTAGCGTAAACAGGGAGAGAGATATTACCTATGGTTCGGCTTGGCTCTCCATTGAAACCGACGAGTGTTGATCCTGATTTTGCTATGTCATCCTCTTTGATTCCCATTTGCTCCAGCATCCGCATGGTCGTTATGTTGGCCGTGCTTCCGTTGTCGACAAGGACTCGCTTCACTTCAAAGTTTGCCACCCTAAGGGATATGACCAGAGTGTCATGGTGGGGTTGCATAGGATCTGGCATATCTGACTCGTCAAAAGCAATGGTTGTGCTTCTCCAGTCGTCACGTCGTCTCTCTACTTGACATACCTGCAATGACTTGTCTCGGGAATATTCCCGAGCGTGTCTCTTGGCAGCAGAATACGTTAGGCCACATAAATCCGACCCGCCATTAATAAAATTAATTACCTGACAGGGAGCCGAAGGTGATGGAGGTCGTGTCGCTTTAGTTGACGACTTGTCAGTTCGTCCTAAAAGAGCTTTAGTCCGTTCTGACATAATTTCTGTCAGATACCCGTTCTTCAAAAGATAAGCGACCTCCTTTCGCAAAGCGACGCAGTCCTCGGTGTTGTGCCCGATGTCGTTGTGGAAGTCGCAATGCTTGCTC